CTTGTACACTGTAAAGATTTGTCACTCATATTAGTTTAATAAAATGCTGATTGGCCAGTAGCCCGGCAGGAAGTATAGGTAGAGCAACCAGACTAGGAAAAAAGCAGAGACACAGTCACCAGCCAGACACAGAGGAAGCAAGATGAGAATGCCTCACTGAGAAAAGGTACCAAGCCACACGGCTAACCATAGACAAGGATTATGGGTTAATTTAAGCTGTAAGAGCTAGTTCATGATAATCCTGAGCTAATAGGTCAAACATCTTATAATTAACATAAGCCTCTGTGTGTTTCTTTGGGACTTAACAGCTGCAGGACTGGGTGGGACAGAAACTTCTGTATACACACATAAAATAAAAATAAATAAATGAGCTGGGCATTGGTGGCACACACCTTTAATCCCAGCACTTGGGAGGCAGAGGCAGACAGATCTCTGTGAGTACGAGGCTAGCCTGGTCTACAATAACTAGTTCCAGGACAGGCTCCAACTTCAGAGAAACCCTGTCTGGAAAATACAAAAACAAACAAACAAACAAACAAATGAATAAATGATTTTTTAAAAAGCCCAATAGAAGCCAGGTGATGGTGGCACATGCCTTTAATCCCAGCACTCAGGAGGCAGAGGCAGGCATATCTCTGTGAGTTCAAGGCCAACCTCCTCTACAAAATTATTTCCAGGACAGCCCGGGCTGTTATACACAGAGAAACTGTGTATGTATGTATGTATATATACATACATATATATATTTATATGTGTGTGTGTGTATGTGTGTGTACACACTGTCCCAATATATATATATAACAAAAAAACAAAGAAAAACCACAATGGAACCATCTGTGGTATGGTGTTCACTCGATGAATAACATCTACAAAGAGAAAAAGTATATCTTCTTTATCTGGCTTTAACAGATAAACCTGAACTTAATGCAGTCTTATTTTTTAACAGATTTTATTTATTTGTTATGTATACAGTGCATGTATGCCTGCTATCCAGAAGAGGGCACCAGACCCCATTACAGATGGTAGTATGCCACCTTACTGGGAATTGACTCAGGACCCTTGGAAGAACAGGCAATTCTCTTAACCACTGAGCCAGCCCTCAGTGTAGTCTTAGTTTTACAGGGACTGCTCTAATACACTGCTACTTTGGTTTTTAATGTTACTAATGATTTGTTCTGCAGTTCTGGGTGTCCACTCCAGGGACCCACACATAACAAGGATTTTATGACCCATATACCTCAATAGTCTTGCTAGCAATTTTTGAAGTTTTTGCTCACAAATACAATCTGCCTGTCTCTTGTGATGAACAGTGGAAGCATCAGTTTATGTATCCCAAGAGGCTCACTATAATTGGAAACTTGTATTTTCAGGAAGGGATTCAAGAAAATATGATGAAATCAGAACAGATTTTCTGACTTAATTAGGGGCACACTGCACTGTAAGGTATTCCCTATCTTTTAGATGAAATCCTTTCTGAAGAAGACACACTTCACTAATCCTGTTGGGAAAGCAGTGAATATGACCAGAAAGAAATACTGCAGGCAGAATATGACATTTTCCAGATTTGCAATTTCCCACATAGTCTTGGACTTAAGGTGAAAATAGAAAAGTTTAGGCAATGACTTCCACATGGTCAACAGCTCTACTATCTGAAGATATGATAGAATGTATCACAGGAAGTAGACAGTTGTGTTTGGCCTAATATTACTGATTACAGCTGTAATCATTGTCAAGTGGATCTATTTGTGCTTCCTAACTCACTAAACTGAAATGAATTGTTAAATAATCAATTTTTCTCTCTTAGAACTGTCACAGCAAAAATCATAGCTGTAAAATGTATTTGGGGTCACATACATCCAACATTTCATTTGCAGATTTCCAGAAAATGAGTTCTTTTCTCATTACCTATATATTTTATTTAGGTTTTTTTGAGACAGATTCTCTGTAGCTTTTGGAGCCTGCCCTGGAACTCACTTGTCCCGCCCAATCTGCAAAACCCACTCTCCAATACAGGTGCGCGCTTCCCGAACCAAACCAAATATTGAGACTGGATCAATATCCTAGGAGTTGAACAGACACACACAGAGAGACCAGGCTCATTCACCCAAAGGGTAAATGACAACTTTATTAAGCACAAGTCGGGTATATATACTTGGGGGCAGAAGGATGAGAGCCCCCTTCCATCCGGGACAGGAAAAGAGGGTGCCAGGCACTAGAGAACTGAGGGGAGGGAGTGTCAGCAGCTGCGGTGTCAGACCTTTTAGGTGTGCATGGGAACCTTTGCTTGCAGGTGGAATTACCATATCAAAAGAGGACAAAGCTCTCTCTAAACTAATCCCCCAAGCTGGTGCAGCAAGCAGAGAAGGCATGAAGCTAGGAGAAAGACAGCCCTGCATAGCACCTCAAAGAAAGGGGAAAAAGCCCGGATACCAACACTCACTCTGTAGACCAGTGTGGCCTCAAGCTCACAAAGATCTGCCTGTTCTCTGTCCCTTGGGTACTGGGATTAAAGGCATGTACCACCACCACCTGGCCTCACTTCCTCTTTTAAAAAGGGCATTTTTACTTATTATTTGAGTATTCCAGGCATGTATACAGAAATATTCTCTTGGTATCATTCTGATTACTGCACAGTTCTTCTCTTCTCTACTGCTGAATCTCTGACCCAGATGCTGAAAAGATTGAGGCTAATTGTAAGTAAGGAGTTAGAGAAAAAAGCATGCAGGTCACTAATTTATATTATAAAATATTGTTCAAGCAATTTTTATATATTTATTATGTATTCAGTGTTCTGTCTGTATGTATCCCTACAGGCCAGAAGAGGGCACCAAATCTTATTACAGATGGTTATGAGCCACCACGTGGTTGCTGGGAATTGAACTCAGGACCTTTGAAAGAGTAGGCAAACCTCTTAACCATTAAGCCATCTCTCCAGCCCCCTTGTTCAAGCATTTTATCAAGAGGATATGAACTTCTAACGTCTCTAAACATACATTAACATTTTCATGGCCCACAATAGATAGATAGTTTATGAAGTAATCTTGGGTTTACTTAGATTTATTTATTTTCATTTTATGTGCATGAGTGATTTACCTCCATAAGTGTGGATGCAGCACATGACTGCCTGATATCTGTGAATATCAGAAGAGGGATTCGGGGCCCCTGGAAATGGAGACAGCTTTGACCCCCTCTGTAGGTCTTGTGAGCAAAAGCTGCATCCTCTTCAAGAGCATCAAATGCTGCAGACAACTGAGTCATCACTCCAGCCCCCAACCCTAACCCATAGAGGAAGTGCTCAGCTGATGACTCTCTATTTGTCTCTTTCCTTCTTGCCAGTTCTTTAAACAAACAGGTTGTTAATCATCTTTATCTGAGTGAAAAAGTATAGGAAGTAAGTGTTCTTAACCTCTGAGCCATCTATCCAGCCCTCTTTTTCTTTTTAAAGAGAAAGAAAACATAATGTTTAGTAAATATGGAGTTTTGGGATATTTGGAGCATTTGTGAGGTTATAAAATTGATCAAAATACTGTATGAAGACATATTTCAAAAAAGATACTAAAAGAAAATGATTCAAATCTCTAAATAAAGAAATAGAAGATTTCAGAAGATGGAATATGTCTCATGCTCATGGACTGGTTGGAGTAATATAAAAAACATCATGATCATCCTAAATAAAGCAAACAACAGATTCAAATCCCCATCAAAATTTCAACATAATTCTGGTATTTTTTTTTAAGTTCTGGTATTTGGAGACATGGTTTCTCTTTATAACTCCCTTTGTAGTCCAGGCTGCCTTCAACTCAGAGTTCTGCCTCCCTCTGCTTCCAGAGTAATGTGATTGAAGGCATGCACCACCACTGCCAGGCATCTTCACAGATCACAAAGGGACAATTTTCAATTTCATATGAAAATACACACACACACACACACACACACACACACACACACACACACACCAAACCAGGATAGCCAAGACAAACCTGAATAATATAGAAACTCTGGGATGATGCACTAAAAGCTTTAGCAGTAAAAACAGCACAGCATTGGAAAAGCAGACACAATGATGAATTGTGTAGTTACTGGGCTAAAAATCAGCTAAAAAAAAATTGAAATATTGGTGGACTTCCTGCTCTAGGGTGTTAACTCCCAAATCAGATGTTTTGTTGATATGGCAGCCAGGGAGACAGACTGATCTTCAGAAGACAGAATGAAAGTGTGCTACAAAATTCTGTAAGTGGCATACATTCTCCAAACCGAGCTGTACCAGTGAAACACTGAAAGTATGGTTTGACCATTATGATTCAGTGTCTGCAAAACATTTATTTATTTATGCAAAAATGCAATAATTTATTAGAAAAAACTCACAAAAAATGACCATAAAAGACAGCTTTTCCTTACACTGTATGAAATGTCTTTCCCTAAGTCCCACGTCCTATTCTGTAGTTGTAATTCTCGCTGAATCCTTGCCTGATTATCAGGTAGGGTTGATGTTCTAACCCAATAATGACCCAGAATTTCCATATCTCAACTTCTCAGCCTCTCTTTATGCAAATGCTATGGTTTGGGCTCACAATATACACGTAAGAAACCAGGACATGACTAGAATTCCAGGTCTGAAATAGGGTGTCCACAATCAGCTCAGGGATAGTCAGCAATAGTTTCATGCAATCGAGCTTTGCTTAGTAATTATTTTGGACATACAAATCAGTTTAAAGAGTACTTATTCTTGTAAACATTGTTTAAAAGACAAAAAAGTTTATTTCCTCCAAAGGTGAGAAAAACTCCAATTAGTTTTTTGTTTGTTTTCGAGACCAAGTCTCTCTATAGCTTTAGAGCCTGTCCTGGAACTAGGCCTTTTAGCTGGCACACGCGTTTAATTCCAGCATTTGGGAGGCAGAGACAAGCGGATCTCTGTGAGTTTGAGGCCAGCATGGTCTGCAGAGCTGGAACTCCGCGGGGGGGGGGGGGGGGTGCGACCGGAGGGGGGGGGGGGGGGCGGGGCCCGGAAGAATGGCTCCAAGGAACCAGGCTGAAGTGACAGGAAATCTCGCTAATCCCTTTTGGACTCAGGGAGCTGTGTCTGGAACTGGGTGAGGAATTCCCCGCTGTGTGTTCGGGGACCTGAAAACTCCCGGAGCCGCAGTCGCCGCGGGGCGGCCTGGGAAAACCAGCAGTCAGCAGCACAGTGGGGGAACCGCAGCCCGGGGCCCTGGAACCTCACAGGTCAGAGGAGCTGCGGGGCTGGGATCCAGGAGGAAGCGATGGGGCTGTGCTCGCTGAGGCTGCTCAGGTCACTATCAGCTCTCGCAGTCCTGCCCGTGGCTCTGACGGAGGCGGCGTCAGCTCACGTCTTCACCTGCAGCCAGGTGCTTTCTTATGTGCCACGCGCGTCCCTTAAACTTGTTCATCCGTCCGCCACAGTTTTCGCTCTTGCTCCTCGCAGGCTCTCTTACCTGGTCTCTGTCCGCCTCTCTCTCAGTCTCCACGCGAAAATGGCCTTTCGCTGTATTACTCATCCTCCTTCCCGAGCGTGTTCTCTTAGCGGCTACCCTGGCCTGCCTCCAAAGATACCCGGTTTTCCACTTCTTTAGCCTTATAGACACTGCTTTCAATATTATGTTGTCAGTATCTGTCCATTGTTGGTAAGTTTGAGATTCCATGAAGTGGGTCTTATTATGATTATTTTTCACTTATCTTACGGTTGCCAGATTATTCTGTCATAATATAATTCTTAAAATAATCTAGCAGAGCATTTGCATTGTGTGTTGTTTACAAACAGGGTTTTCTTTGCTATTGTGACTGTTCAAATGGTCCTAGAAGTTAAATTCATTCATGCTTTCTAGTTCCTGTTTTACCACTTGACTCTTCAAGAGCATGGCCCTTGTCCCTGAGACTAGGTAGCCCCGGAGAGGTTTGTAGATAGTAATCACATGAGAAACTAATGAGATATGATTAAACTGAAAATTATATTTTATGGAGTACCTCAGATACGTTTCTAAGCGTTAAGCAAGCCGTTTACTCCCCATTCTTTTCTGTCTAAGACATGCAGTCTAGGATGTAAAGACAGCATTCACAAATGTGTCTTGGTATGCTGTGTTCTTATGTTACACCCAAGGACCAGGCAAGCCTAACATGCATGCTGCGAGAGTATATCAGGCCACACTATTTTATAGTTAGCAAATGCACTTTAAACAAAATTATAAAGCATCTTTTAAGTATTTATGATCACTCACCTGTATCATAAAAATGTCTCTTTTGTTGGACTAGTGACCAACATTTTTTTTTTTTTAAATTTCAGGATTTGCTGACATTTAGTGCTGTGACTGTGAACTTCTTGTAGGTGTGGGAATGCCTAGATCCTACTCACGGGGCTTTTAGCTGAGATCTCCTGTTGAAGAACTGCAGCAGCTGGGATTCTGAGGGTGAGAATAGTTTTTTTGCAGTCTCCCTTGCTTCTGCTCCGGGTTCCTGGGAAAACTACTGTGGATGTGTGGGAGTTGTGTGTGAATGAGTCTCACATCTCACAGAGTAAACTGAAATCCAAGGAGAAAGAGACATTTTTCTTTTCTTTCTTTTTCTTTTCTTTTCTTTTTTATTTTATTTTTTGTTTGTTTGTTTGTTTGGTTGGTTGGTTGGTTGGTTGGTTGGTTTTTCAAGACAGGGTTTCTCTGTAGCTTTGGAGCTTGTCCTGAAACTTGCTCTTGTAGACCACACTGGCCTTGAACTCACAGAGATCTCTCTGCCTCTGCCTTTAGTGCTGGGATTAAAGGCATATGCCACCACCGCCCGGCTAGAGACCTTTTTATTAATATTTTCTCTTTCCTTGATCTTTTTCCTTTTGGCAGATGTTAGCATCTTTACTTTTTGCTCCTTAAAAAGCTCCAAGTGCTTTCTGAAGACTCTTTCTCCTGTGCAGTCTCACATTGCTCAGCTGGACCTGCTCACCTGGGAATCAGAACAAAGAGCCCTGGATGGTGAAGAGAGGGGAGACAATAGCAAAGGATTCAGGTATGTTACAGTTTTTGAGGAAGGCGTAAAGAGACTGAGAAGGGCTCAAGTGACAGAAAAATAGGACGTGAAATTGGTTTTGCTACATTCTGTTTAATTCTAAATGATTCTAAAGAATTCCACGGACAGTAATCTCAGGATTGTCCTATTGGTAGGTGTTTGAAGACTGTGTATGTAAAAAAATTAATACTCAGAGGCAAATATAATTTTATTTGACATTGCATGGGAATGATGTCCCTCTCTAATTTCCATCTCTGGTTGTGTTTTTATATCACTATTAAGTGGTTTCATTACTATAATTTTTTAGAAGATTTATTTATTTATTTATTATATAGTGATCTACCTGCATGTATGTCTGCACACCAGAAGAGGGCACCAGATGTCATTATGGATAGTTGTGAGCCACTATGTGTTTGCTGGGAATTGAAATCAGGTCCTCTGGAAGAACAACTAGTGCTCTTAACCTCTGAGCCATCTCTCCAACCCCCTCATTATTATAATTTTAACATGCCATTTAGTTGGGACTATTTAAGTCTCTTGGTTGATCCTGTACACAGGTTTTTTTTTTTAATGTTTTTTTGATTGATATTTATTGAGCTCTACATTTTTCTCTGCTCCCCTCCCTGCTTCTCCCCTCTCTTGTTCAACTCTCCCCTAAGGTCCCCATGCTCCCAATTTACTCAGGAGATCTTGTCTTTTTCTACTTTCTACTTCCCATGTAGATTAGATCTATGTAAGTCTCTCTTAGTGTCCTCATTGTTGTCTAAGTTTTCTGGGATTGTGGCTTGTAGGCTGGCTTTCTTTGCTTTATGTTTAAAAACCACCTATGAGTGGTATGTGATAATTGTCTTTCTGTGTCTGGGTTACCTCACTCAAAATAATGTTGTCTAGCTCCATCCATTTTCCTGCAAAATTCAAGCTGTCATTATTTTTTTTCTGCTGTGTAGTACTCCATTGTGTAAATGTACCACATTTTTCTTATCCATTTTTCAGTCGAGGGTCATTTAGGTTGTTTCTAGGCGTTGGCTATGACAAACAAAGCTGCTATGAACATAGTTGAACACATATCCTTGTGGCATGAGTGAGCATCCTTTGGATATATACCCAAAAGTGGTATTACTGGGCCTTGTGGAAGATTGTTTCCTAATTTTCTGAGAAATTGCCACACTGACATCCAAAGGGGTTGTACCAGCTTGCATTCCCACCAGCAATGCAGAAGTGTTTCCTTTCCCCCACAACCTTTCCAGCAAAAGTTGTCATCAGTGTTTTTGATTTTCCCATTCTTACAGGTTTAAGATGGAATCTCAGAATTGTTTTGATTTGCATTTCTCTGATGACTAAGGATGTTGAACATTTCCTTAAGTGTCTTTCAGCCTTTTTAGATTCCTCTGTTGAGAGTTGTCTGTTTAGGTATGTACTCCATTTTTTTATTGGATTATGTGATCTTTTGGTGTCCAATTTCTTGAGTTCATTGTGTATTTTGGAGATCAGACCTCTGTCTGCTGTGGGGTTAGTGAAGATCTTTTTCCATTCTGTAGTCTATCTGGAGGGCTGCTAAGCATTATTGGTTTTCTGTTTATGGTAATCTTTCTCAGTGATAGATATTGAAGCTTCCTGTATCATTGTCTATTTGCTTCTTACACGTCAGTCATTGATTGCTTCATGTAATTAGAAACTTATAAAATATATTCATATTGATCACATACCTGTCTGGAAATGGACCCTTTGATTATTTATTAATATTCTTTGTTTTTTTACATTTATAGATTTGTCTTTTCCTGTTACCTATCATAATCATGACCAACCCTATTCACAGGTAATCTTTATAACGTTTCTTCATTCTTAGCACTATGTATACTTATGTTTGAAGTAAATACTTTCATAGAAAGTATATATTTTGATTTTAGGACCATTTAGGGCCTATTTTGGTTTTAGTATTATCCTGTTTTCATGTTTGGTTTAACACATATATACATTTCAAGAAATCACTGAAGAAAATTATAAACACTTAACTATTTTGTTATTTTTCTGTATTATGTTTCTTTTCCTCTTTCTGTATTTCTATTTCATTGATAGTTTGCAATTTATTTTATTCCTTTAAAATTTGAGTAGTATCTTTACTATGTTTTATCTTTTTATTGTTTAGTTTTTCATAAAATTGCACACTGACTTGCCTGCTGGTTGCAGTGAGTTAGATTCCCACTGAAGAATACCGTCTCTGTATTCTTTGTTCAGCTTTTCTCTGTGTTTGCTGTTTAACACCCTGAGTGTAGTTACTGATTGGACAGAGAATTGTCAGTGTATACAAGAGGAGCATTTTCTTCATCAGTAAATGTGTGGAACATGTGCTATTTACATTTAGGCTATGCTACAGCTTTTTTGCATTGTCACTTTTTTTGGTTTATTTTTTTGATTAAAATATTTACTTTGCTTTTTTAACTTCTTGGTAAAATCTGGGCATATATGTATTGTAGTATAATATGTTTGCTAATAAATTTCACCATTTAGTATGCTGTTTCTTTATACTTTCAGGTATGCATTTTTTCAAGTTTCACACAGTCAAATTTAACCAATTCATTGATTTTTACCTATTTTCATTCTTTTATATGTGGATATGAACCTTTCCCTTCAACACAGGTCAATGATGCTGTCATCTGTACGATAAGTTTTTGGTATTTCCAGTTGGTCACCCAGGTTGGATTGGTTCTGGATCTGCTGCTCATAGTGCTTTAGGTGTCCACTCTTCTGTCCCTGCCATGGTGCTGTTGTTCCTCTAGTTCTACAGTATCATCTGAATCACAGCTGGGATGACTCAAGTTTTACTCTCTTTGTCCGGGCTTGCTCTGACTCTTAGGGTCTTTGTTATTTGTAAGTAATGTAAATTTGTATTAGTCTCCTTTCTGTACCTGTGAAGTAAATCATGGGTAGCTTGTTTGTCACAGATTTTGAGCTAATTATATGAATTTTGTAACACTGTCCTTCCCACAAGAATGCATTCTGTTCTATGTGCATGCCTATTTTTCCCATCTTCCAGTGTTATCCTCTATTCTTTCAGTGAATTCAGGTTTCTATTCCAATGATCTCTCTTGTGCTGTGTTAGTTTTTTTCTTTTTTTTAAACTATTGTTTTGATTGTTTACTGCTCGGTTTGAATTATATAATAGAAGCAAAAATAGATAGTATAAATCTTCTCTAATTGGTTGGTTGAGTACATGAAAAAACAAAAGTTCTACCTCCAAACAGACATTGATATCTCCTCTTAAGTTTTATTTCTATAAATTTTGTTCAATTTTGATAATAAAATATTGATATTTAATGAAAGCACATTTTAATTTGCTTGTTCTTACCCTCTGGTCACGCCCTGTCTTTTCCATGGGTAGACGTGTTTTCTTCCCTGTTGTCCTTCTCATATTTCATGTATGATTTGGGGCAGGTTTAGGCTGTGTACCAGGCTGTAATGTGTTAATAATTCTAATTGTCATGTCATATGACAAAAGAGTTTTTCATGTGTCACCTTCCTATCCTCCAGCTCTTAAATCTTTTATCTCCTCTTCTGTTATGTTCCCTGCAATTTAGATGTGGGGATATGTAATTCCCATCATAGACTGTACAGTTAGCATTCAGTTTTTCTCAGTTTTTGATGAGGTATAATTCTCTGAAATAACTATTGTCCGTTGAAAACAGTTTCTCAGACCCTTGCCGAAAGCAGCACCAAGCTGTGGTGTGATCAGAATCAGTAAAAGGCAGTTTGAATATTTGTACATGTAGCAGCATGTCATTAGTGAATTCTGTGTTAGAGCATTTCACTTTCACATCACAGGCTTTTGGCCATCCATGTATTTCCTTCTGTGAATCTGCTTCAGATCAAACCAGAAGACCTGTTACCCACAAAATAATCATGCTGCTATCACACCAATGGGCTTGTTTCGCCTCGCAGGCTGGGATTATAGCATACAGCATCCAAATCTGATTGGCCTTTGATAACTCTGCCCCCTTCCCCAGCTTGCATAACATTTTTGACACTATGAGTGCTACCATGTTTGTATTGGGAAACAATTCAGGTTCTTGATTTAACACTGCTAAATCTGAAACACAGTATCTTTTACCGGAGCAGGAATTTTTGATTGGCTGCCGATAGCGCTGACATTTCTCAGCCTGTATGTTATCCTGGTATTCTCCCATGAAACTCATGCATTGCTGTACCCATTTTTCCTTGCCATTCTGATGCTGATCATGAGCCCCTGTGCATCAAATTTTAAATATTGTAAATTCACCACAACTTTCTATTTAACCTGGCTCTCAAAATTCTGTTGTGCTGTCACTAAATTTTCATTTACATGAGCTGAGGCATATCCTGATCTTTTCACTCTTTTTGTGGTTGTTGAAGAGTAGTGTTCTAGTAGTGTATTTTCATTATCCATTTTCTTCGGTACTGCGGCTATTACAAAGTTCCTGGAGCTTTCTAAAGTGTGCGCAGTTACTCATCATCCTCTGTTAGTCTAGTTATCCATGTGTTCATTGCATTAGTCCCCTTGTATTTCATGTGTGTTTGGAGGCAGATGTTTGTATCAAGGTAAAGCCAGCTTTGTGTGATGATGGTCTAGCATTCCTTTTCCTTCAGTTTTTGACAATATTTTTCTTTTCAGGGTTAGTGTAGGAATTTGTAAAGGAATTAGGGAAAGAAGGGAACCCCCGCACCCTGGCCCCCCCAAAGCATATCCAAACACCTGTTTTTACAGAGAGAAATTTTATTGAGCAGGAAAGAAAAGATAAAATGACCACTTTCTGTCTCTGGCAGAAAAACAGCAGTAAATGACTTCGCAGGTGGAATATTTTGTTGTTGTTGTTATTTTGTTTTGTTTTTTTGAGACAGGGTTTCTCTATGTAACATTTCTGACTGTCCTGGTACTCATTTTGTACACCAGACTGGCCTCGAATTTAGAGATCTACCTGCTTCTGCCTTCTGAGTTCTGGGATTAAAGGCGTGTGCCACCATTACCCAGATGCACGTGGTTTTTTGTTGTTGTTGTTGTTGTTGTTTGTTTGTTTTTGGACAGGCCCTAAATATCTTTATTGTCAAACAGCACATATAGATTTCATCTTTTCTATGTTCTCTGCATGTAGCACTAAGTGAGCAAGCAGAAAAAACATGGCAAGCAGCTTGCATGAGGCACGGGTGAGAACAAGAGCCAGGCTTGTGAATAAAAAGGATTCATTTTCAAGTCCACTTTGTGAACAGATGTCATGATTTTCATGGCCAGGACCATCGGTATGCTGGGAGCCCAAGCATCTCATCAGCTCAAACAAAAGAGAAAACGCCATTCCAGGGAAAAAGGCCCCCATATTCCTTTTCACCCAGGAATCAGAGACAGACAGAGCCTGCTGGCTTTTCATAGCAAAACCTGTCTAGATCGCGTCAGTGCTGTGCCATTATCAGAGAGTATGTTTCTTCTCATGGGGGCAAATTGAAATTGCAGTGGAGCCACTTTTATTCCCTCGCATTTGTGTGTAGAGAAATGCATTTCTAACAATCGGCCAGAAGAAAGGGGAAAGTTATCATCTCTTCAAACAACTCAGAGAAACGTTCTAAACAGGACATATAGTCGATGCTAAAGCTCCAGTTAAATTGCTCAATTAAAAATGAATTTAATAACTGACAAGTGCCAGCTGCCATCCTGCCAGCCCTGTGAATGGGAAGAATTAGGTTCCCTCCAACTGCTGCTGACACCAGCTTTCATTAGAAGAGCAGCCATTTATTTCCACTAATGTGAAATTGAGTCTTTGTTTACAAGATGCCTAAGGAGCATGATAATGGATCCAAATGCCGAAATTGGCAGCCTGCGCCTTGCATGGTTGCTGGTTGAGTGGGCAGTTTTAAGGCAGCTTCCAAATCAGTGGTTTTCAGTCTTGTGAATTTTGGAGTGCCTCTGATAGCAGTGTGCACCTAAGACTGCATGAATCATGCTTTCCATGACAAGGCCTTGCAAGTGTACTTTGTCTAGCCAGGCGGCCCAGGTATGGGCATCAGTGAGCATGGCACAGGACTGGATGTCTCTGTGCATTGGGCTGGGAAGGTACCCGTATGCTTTCTGCTCTTGGACTGATGGCCTAACTGGATCTTATTTTTAGCATGATATTGATGTATCATGAGAAGGGTTTTGGCTTTTGTTAAATTGTCAGCTGGCTTCCTTGTAACTTTGATACAGAGCAGGTGGAATTCTTAAGAAGAGAAAAAGGGGAAACTTTGTGTTAGAATGGGCTCCTTTGGTAAAGGAGACAGTGGATGAGGGAGAAGGGGAAGGTAACAAAGGAAAGGGGGCAGGGATATTTGTCCTAGAGGGACAGAACACTGCCTCTGAATAGAGGGGACAGAGTAGTGACACATAGGCAAATGTGAGTTCATAAAGGTAAAGGGGGAAACCCCATGTTGGGAAGAAGTGATTAATTTGACATATTAAATAGTTGAACAAAAGGGGGCTTCTGATTGCTAGACTTCAATTTTTCCATTGCTGGACCTTGGGAGAAACCTCGTGAGAATGAAGTGGCCAAATAAGGGAATAGCCCTTGTTGGCTAGATCTAGGGATGTAATCTAATGGGAGAGAGAGCGTCCTAAATTACTTTTCTAATTGACATTATTAATAAATAGAGAAAGTAGTAATTTTGTGTGTTAGTTTTGTTCTTTTTGATAATGTGTGAAACACTTAGTAAATCTAACATTTTCCTGTAGTGACGCTGGAAAGTTTTTGCATGATCACATCATCTTTAAAAGAAAATTTGGTACCTTTCCTTTCTGTTTTTCTTGGTTTTCCTTATTCAGGATTTTCTGACTTACTCTTATGCCTCTAGATTCACTAAGACTGGAGAGCATATGTTGTCTTACTCTCCTTTTAGTTTTTCTGTTATTGCTATTAATCTTTTCCCCCTGCGCTGTACTGTTGGCGTCATTGTAGCGTACCTTCCCTTTACTGTGTTCCACTGTGTTACATTTCTTCATAGTTCCTTAAGGAGTTTATCACACAATCTCTTGATATTTGTCTTATGAAATATTTCTTAATACTTATATTTTCATATTATGGGACTCTTATTCATGATTTGTTTTTTTAATATTTTTGTGGGTAAAATTAGAGGTAGTAATTTTCTTATGTCTGATAAGAATGGTAATTTTCTGGTTTTATGTGTTGGAAATAATCTGTTACTCCCCAGCTCTCCTGTTCATCTATTCCTTTTGTAAAGTGCCTTGTTTTCTGAGTTGTCATGCTTAATTTTCCTCTGATTTTTCTATGTAAACCTTGCCTCAAATTATCATCTGCAGTGCAGCTTGTGAGTGGATGGCCTTATTCGTTTTATAACTTTTATTATGCACTTCCTTCTTCATGAATTTTAAGAGCCCATGTTTCTGTGTGCAGTGATAAGGTTCATAGTCATTTTATTTCATCACTGACATCCCTGAGCAATTTATAGAAATGTAGAATTAGAAGAGACTCGTTTTCTTGAAACCTAATAGTAAATATTTTAGCACCCAGAGAACACAGATTATGGAAGTGTTATGTGATTTGCTCTTGCCAGAGAGTTGCTTTGTCTGTGAGGAGATGAAGGTTGCAGTATTATGGTTTCTCTTTTTGCAATATTATGTCACACAGTGATGATGACTATGTTGACACCTGAAATGTACTTGTCTCAGGACACCTTCTATTCAGAACTCAGTGGTTAGCTCTGATTAGAAAATTCTTATTTTTTTTCTTTATCTTTTGTTTCCTTATTAAGGGGCATAAGCACTGCTGTGTCCACTTTTGTGTGGCATTATGTGGAATATAATAGTGGTGGTGGACGACTTTAATCCTAGCACTCGGGAGGCAGAGGCAGGTGAATCTCTGTGAGTTCGAGCCCAGCCTGGTCTACAAGAGCTAGTTCTGGGGCAGGTCCCAAAGCTACAGAGAAACCCCGTCTAGAAAAACCAAAAACCAAAAAACAACAAAGAATTTTCCAGAGAATACTTAGTGCTGCACATAAGCCATCAGTTTTCAAACATAAACGAATGTCCCACAGTCATTCAGTCCCATAGAAACCTACATTAATTATAAATTGTTTGGTCTATTAGCTCAGGCTTTTTCTTATTAGCTTATTCTTACATCTTACATTAACCCATAATTCTTGTCTGTGTTAGCCACATGGCTTGTTACCTTTTATCAATGAGGCATTCTGATCTTGCTTTCTCTGTGTGGGGGTGATGACTGTAGACTGAGCCTTTTCTCTTCCCAGAATTCTCTTGTTCCGGTCACCCTGCCTATACTCCTGCCTGGCTACTGGCTGATCAGGATTTATTAAACTAGTAAAACTGACAAATCTTTACAGGGTACAAGACCATTGTCCCACAGCACATTACTCCCTTCTTTTCTTTTGGAGAAAGAAGGCCCTCTCTGGCCTATGTTTTTCTTTTTCTCTCCCTCAAGGTTTGTATTACAAGGGCAAAATTCTGAAGAGTTGTATCAATGTTTCTATTTCTTGATTTAAAATCATATTTTATTTACATATATGAGGGTTTATCTGCATATTATATATACTGCATGATGCGGTATGCATCTCCATCCCTGAGGTCAGCACCAAACCCTTGGCACTGAAGTCAGACACTGTAGCTAATTGACTTTTGTTTAGAGAGAATTAAATTTCTCTGCAGTAATAGCAAGTGCCCTTTATCTCTGAGCCATGTCTTCAGGCTCCAGGTTTATATTTCTGGTGAACACTTTTGATAGCATATAACCCTGTGTATTCCAGTTTTTGAAAAATGAATGTTTAATCATAAATACTTATCTAAGCTTAAATCATGTTAGATGAATGAGCTCAAATACTGAAGTGAAGAATAAAGTTGAAATTAAGAGGCTTAAAATTTCATCTGAGTCAATCACATGAGCAATAATATATTCAAAATTAATGAAGAGTTAGAATATTTCTCACTCTATTTAAAACATTTGTTTTGGTAATAGAAAATATTTGTACTACATCTGAATGCACTATCATATAGGCCATGTATATTTCTAATTATTCTGTACTGGAATACTGTGTGGAATTCATGAAATTGTTATTTATCTGTATTATTTATGTCAACAATTTGAAAATGTAAATAACATTAATGTTGTATAATTCTGCTTTTTCTATTTACTTCATGGTTGTAAATATTTCTCAAAACGTATCTTCTCAAACTTGGGTGTTTGGAACTTTGGATGTGTGCAATGATTTTAAACTCCTTACTCTCAAGAAAAAAATGACTTAAATCATCCATAATTTTTGCATTCCAGCCGGGCGGTGGTGGCACACTCCTTTAATCCCAGTACTTGGGAGGCAGAGGCAGGCAAATGTCTATGAGTTCGAGGCCAGCCTAGTCTACAAAAGCTAGTTCCAGGACAGGCTCCAAAGCTACAGAGAAACCCTGTCTCAAAAAAAAAAAAATTGCATTCCATGGTCTACCGATTTGTTCTAGAAAGGGAGCATCATTATATCAAGGCCTCAGGATCTCCACTGAACCTTTTAGATTAGAGTCAGATAAATCCAGCTTCAAACAGGATTGATCTAATGTCCATATTCAAGTAAGATCAGCTGTTGTATAATTTCAAAGCATACCTTTAATCGTTACAACTTTAACATCTGAGTTGTGGTTCTGGAATTCTGTTTCTTGTCAACACATACTTCATAAAGGTACTTTCCTGTATCTAGACCACAAATGTGTATATTATATTCCCTAAAAATTGGGTGATTGCAAGACTATTATGTCACCCTGTATTTACAGAGATTGAAAATACAATAAAGACTGAATAGTTTAGAAAATATCTTTTATTAAACTTAAATTGTAATTTTTATTTTATATAGATATATCCCTGAGTGTTTGTGTGTGTGCACGTGTACTGTGTATGACCCCTACCTATAAGGTTCATCCGAGAGCATTGGATCTCCTGGATCTGAGATTAAATTCTGTTTTATAGTACCGTAAGTGAAAACTTCAAACTGGACACAAATTTTCAAATTTATTGATTGTGGCACATCTTTTTTTCTGCTACTCAGGTCTTAGAGTACATCAGAAAATTCCTGGAGGAGGGAGTCCTAATGGATGTTTGCAATGTAGTAAGTCAAGTCTTTCTATACATTGTCTCTGAACGAATAGCAACACAGCACTTCTAGAAAATTCTTGACCTCTAAAACTTGCCATGCCTCATATATATCATAGACACGTCTCCGTCTCTAATTCTTTAGGTCTCTTTTACTCAAGATATCATTTGTGGAGCAGTGCATGGTAAATAGATAATTCTCCGTTGCAGGGTCTGTTATCCTTCAGAGATGTGGCTGTGGACCTCTCTCAGGAAGAATGGGAATGTCTAGACTGTGCTCAGAAGGCATTGTACATGGATGTGATGTTAGAGAATTACAACAATCTACTCTTTGTGGGTAAGGATTCTCTTATTGTAGAATTTCTGATTTATCCTTTTCATTTACCTAATTTGTATATGTGTAACTCTTTGAACCTAGATAATCCCAGAAATGAGGAAAATTCTGGTTACAAACATAACTTTTTAATAGTGCTTTACTTACATTTTTCTGTGTTTTCTAGAAGAGTAACCAATCCTATATTCTCTGTGGTCTTTTTAGCCCTCCTATGTAATATAGAAAGAATATTTCAAAGTTCAAAAAATATTGACTGCTCATAGCAAGGTAATGTATTGCAGAACTCATAATAATTAGAATGTTTTTATTTTGCTACTGCATTAAACTCTTCCTATTTCTGATTATAAACAATGCAAAAGGTTTTAGAAACAAACTGCTGTTTGTGCGAATGCTGTTTTTGTTTATTTTTGAGATGTGGTTGCTATGTTTAGTTTGGTGCAGTATTATTTTTAATATTTACACTTTGGAGGCTGAAGTGGGAGGACTTGGTGAGTTCCTTGCTAACCTGGAATTAGCTGACATAAGTTGTACGGTGTGACTCTGTCTCAAAAACATAAGAAATAGTGAAACATTCTTCATATGACCCTTTACAGAGCTTATTTCTCAAATTCTTTACTGTTCAAACACCTGTTTGTCTTATGAAGTACAAGGTACCATGTTTAGATAAGAATGAGAAAGCTATGCATGGAACTGATGTAGATCCTCTACATATGTATGACAATTGTTTAGTTTGAAGTATTTTTGGGACTCCTATCAATTGGATCAGGGCATTACCTGACACTTTGGCTTACTATTGGGAAGCTATTTCTCATAATGGGTTGTGTTGCCCAGCCTTAATACAAAGGGAGGAGCTAAGTCCTACCCAAACGTAATATGTCAGTACTTTGTTGACACCCATGGAAGGCCTGCCTCTTTGAGAACAGAAACAAGGATGCCTTGATGGGAGGATAGATGGGAGTCAGGGAGAGGTATCAGAAAGAGAGGAGGGAGTTGACACTACATTCAGAATGTCAAATAAATGAAAAATATTGATAAAAGGATGAAGGGAATGAGTTGGCCATTATTAGCCCTTGTGATTTGATATAAATCAGATTGGGAATTCTTGATTTAATTGATTAAATTGAGCATCCATTTAGTGATTATGAAGTAGAAAAGTCCTCTATTAAGAGCTCTGTCCCTGAAAGTTACTAGTTTATATGTCATAGAAAACCTAAGAAACCATCATTTGGTGAATCTGTTGCTCATGCATTAATTGTTATTATTTACAATTGTACTAATTTTTCAGAGAACCATCGCATATGTGGTAAATGTGGGAAGGTCTTGTATCAAGGCACAAAGCATTTTATTCATGATCATGAAAATATCCAAGAGAAGTTGTATAAATGTAATGAGCCTTGCAAAGTGATTCATGAGTCCTGCCAGTGTATATCTCATAACACAAGTGATACTGCAGAAAATTACAAGTACAGATTTAGTAACCACAGAAATGCCTCTGGTGAAACCTTAAACCTCAACAGACACAAAAAAGGAAATGCTGGAGAAGAACCTTGCAAATATAAAGACTCTGTAAACTGTTTCCATCTGTGTTCCATCATAAGCCAAAATCGAAGAACTCACACAGAAAATAAAAAGCACAAAAATACCAAGTATGATAAATATTTTGATTCTAAACATAAATTCAAGCTAAAACAAACCAATAGTGGAAGAAAATCACACCAATGCTGGAAATGTAGGAAATTATTCAAGACTCACTCAACTCTCATTAAGCATCAAAGAACACATGCTATAGAAAAAACCTATAAATGTACAAAATGCAGTAAATCCTTTCTGCATTTTTCGCAACTCAAAGTACATTACAAAATCCACTGTAGAGAAAAACTCCACAAATGCTCAGAATGTGGTAAGTGCTTTTGTCACACCTCAGACTTGGAAAGACATTACAAGATCCACATTAAAGAGAAACCTTACAAATGTAATGAATGTGACAAATCCTTTCTGAGTGCCTCCTATCTTAGAATACATCAAAGAATCCATACAGGAGAGACTTACAAATGTAGTGAATGTGACAAATGCTTTACCACAAAAGATCGTCTTAGAAGTCATCAGAGAATCCACACAGGAGAGAAACCTTACAAATGTAGTGAATGTGACAAATCCTTTCCCCAGAAAGTTCATCTTATGTCTCACCAGAGAACTCATACAGGAGAGAAACCTTACAAATGTAGTGAATGTGACAAATGCTTTACCACAAAAGACCATCTTCGAACTCATCAGAGAATCCACACAGGAGAGAAACCTTACAAATGTAGTGAATGTGACAAAAGCTTTACAAGTGCCTCAAATCTTAGATCACATTTAAAAAGACACACAGGTGTGAAACCTTACCAATGTAATGAATGTGACAAAAGCTTTAAAAGTGGCTCAAATCTTAGAATTCATCAGAGAATACATACAGGTGAGAAACCTTACAAATGTAGTGAATGTGACAAATCCTTTACAGAGAAAGGGGCATTTAGAAATCATCAGAGAATACATACAGGAGAGAAACCTTACAAATGTAGTGAATGTGACAGATCCTTTACTGAGAAAGGGACATTTAAAAATCATCAGAGAATACATACAGGAGAGAAACCTTACAAATGTAGTGAATGTGACAAATCCTTTGCCAAAAAAGTGGCATTTAGCGTTCATCAGAGAATACACACGGGAGAGAAACCTTATAAATGTAGCAGATGTGAAAAATCTTTTGCTGGGAGAGGCAATCTTAGAACTCATCAGAGAATCCACACAGGAGAGAAACCTTACAAATGTAGTGAATGTGACAAATATTTTAACACAAAAGACAATCTTAGAAGTCATCAGAGAATCCATACAGGAGAGAAACCTTACAAGTGTAGTGAATGTGACAAATCCTTTACCTGGGACTCATCTCTTAGGATACATCAGAGAACACATACAGGAGAGAAACCTTACAAATGCAGTGAATGTGACAAATCCTTTACCACCAAAGCCAGTCTTAGAACTCATCAGAGACTACATACGTTACAGAAACTTTAGAATTGTGGCAAATGTGAGAAATCTTTTTTGGTTGGTACAACTCTTAGAATATGTTCTGGGATATTTGGTCACATTGTAAAACCCAAGTGTTAATAACCACCTTGGATCAGGAGCAAGAACCCGGAACTAGTTGACAAGAATTAGCTATAGAGAGTATGAAGCAGTATGGAAGACTGATAGATGCACGGGAAAGAGTAGGAAGTGACTTAGGGTTTGCAATCTTCTGAATAGAGATGGTTGAAGAGACACTCTCTTCCTGGGTCTCTGGCCAAGAAGGAAGTTCATTGGTTGCTTCTTGGACTTTCTGAATTAGCAGGTTTTCACCCTAACATCTGACTACCATGTCTTTATTGGTAAATAGAAAAATAGAGATATAGTTAAAAACTATGCATGGTATCTATGGCAGAGCCAATGACAGTAGAACCAAAAATCCCACCAAGCCACAGCCTAAGCAACAATGTTTAATGCTAGTCCATGACACCACACTCAGATGTAACTGTTAGACTTATGGGAGAACATTAGCACATCAGAGAATATATACTAAAGAGAAGTCTTATGAATGTAATAAATGAGAAATCCTTTACTATTTGCTCATTCATTAGAAAACAGTAGAGAATTCATTCGTGAGAGGAACATTACAAGTTTAATTATCTTAGTTTGGGTTTTATGGCTCTGAAGAGACACCATAACCATGAAAATTCTTTTATTTTTATTTTTTATTTGATTTATTTTTTAAGGAAAACAATCTATCTTTTCGTTTTACATACCAATCCCAGTTCCCTCTCATTCCCCTCCTCCCATTCCTCTACTTATCCCTCCCAACCCAATCCATTCCTCAGAGAGGGTAAGGCACATTGTTATGGGGAAAGGTCCAAGGCCCTTCCTACTATATATAGGCTGAGCAAAGTATCCATCCAAAGAGCCAATACAAGCAGTAGGGATAAATCTCGGTGCCACTGCCAGTGATCCTGCAGTCTGCCCCAGCCACAAAACTGTTATTCATATTCAGAAGGACTAGTTTGGACCTATACTGGTTCCTTTCTTGTTCAGCTGAAGTTGGTGAGTTCCCATTAGCTCAGTTAACCTATTTCAGTGGGTGTCCCCATCATGGTCTTGACCTCTTTGCTCATATTCTCACTCCTCCCACTCTTCAATTGGACTTTAGGAGATCAGCCCGGTGCTCCGCTGCAGATCTCTGCTTATGTTTCCATCAGTTGCTGAATGAAGCTTCTATGGTAACATTTAAGATATTCATCAATCTGATGACAGGGCAAGGCCAGTTTGGGCACCCTCTCCTCTGATGTTTAGGGTCTTAGCTGGGGTTATCCATGTGGATTCCTGGGAATTTCTCTAGTACTGGGTTTCTTGATAGTCCCATAGTGACTCCCTCAATCAAAATATCTCTTTTCTTGCTCTCATCTCTGTCCCTCCTCTATCTTGACTATCCCATTCCTTCAAGTTCTTCTCCTTCCCTTCCACCCTGCCTCTGCCCCCACCCCCATGCTCCCAATTTTGTCAGTTATCTCATCTATTTACCTTTCCAGATAGATCTATGTATTCTTTTTAGGGTTCACCTTGTTACAGCTTCTCTAGGATGATTAATTATAGGCTCACTATTCTTTGCTTTATAGCTAGTATCCACTCATGAGGAGGTACATACTGTGTTCTTCTTTCTGGGTCTGAGTCACCTCACTCAGGACTTTTCCCCCATCCATTTGCATGCAAATTTCAAGATGTCAGTATTTTTTACCACTGAGTAGTACTCTAATGTGTAAATGTGCCACATTTACTTTTTCCATTCTTTGTTTAAGGGGCATCTAGGTTGTTTCCAGATTCTGGTTATTACAAATAATGCTGCTATGAACATAGTTGGACAGATGTCCTTTAGTTTGATTGATCATCTTTTGGGTATATGCCCAAGAATGGTATTGCTGGGTCCTGAGGTA